CAACAGTTTGCACTTTGTATGCAAGCTTCACACATGTGTCACATGGAGTCAAAACTAAACATGAATCTAGAAGAAAACTATCCTCTGGGCAGGGCTACACGCATGGAAGTGAAGCTCGCAGTGGAATCGGACTATGTAGTTCCTTCAGCAGGCAAGGATGCCTTGCCAAGTGCCAGCGAAGGAGCTCGGCTCCTTGGCTTCAGTTTTGTGTGACCTGTGTGTGTGTCTGTTTGTTTTGTAGGCTGTAGGCTGTTTGGTATTATGTTTCATGTCTGACAAAGACCTGGTCTTGTGGTCCAAGGTCATTGTCCGAAGTCCAGGAAAGCACCCAGTTGTTGGCCGGCTCGCTCCTCCCGCAAGCTGTGCTTCACCCTCTGACCAAGAATGTCAGCACACCAGGCAACCTGTGTGGAGTTGTGAATTTGACTCCATATGACGCTCATTTGGAACGAGCATGCCTTCGTTGGAGAACCGAATTTGGAGATGATGCCTTCGAGATGCGCACACTTTCCATTGGTTCAAATTTAGAGGCGGTCAACTTCAGCGAGCGGGTACTTTGCAATGAGCTGCTTCAGGAGCCCTGTTGTAATGCAAGCTTACATAAATGAGCCTGCCACTCAAAATAACTGTCTATGGTATGGAATGGGATGGGGGGTTTAGAGTGAGTCTAGAGATGATTGATTGATTAGTCTACTTGTCTTTCCTGGCTTCGCTCACATGCTGTGGTTCCCTGGAGGATTGGAAGCGAGGGGCTCGTCGCTTCCAGGGCTCCCGACCCTATGATCCACATCCAGCAGTGTCTCCGAATGTGTCTCTTGAGAATTTCCCCATGAAATTCGTGCAGGTGACTGAGAACAAGTCGGTGCAAGGCCCAAAGCGATTCACCTTTTCCTTACCCAACTCTATCCGGCTTCTGATGATCCCATCCGGTGTGGAATTCATGGATTGTGGAATTCCACCAAAAGATGGATCACAAATTGAAATAACAACATATTGAATAGGGCGCCTCCTCCATAAACATAATCACAGATCGCTTTCCACCATACACCTCCACAAACATAACCCCTCTCCTCACTGCCCATCTGCAGGTTCCAGGTTGCACCAGTGGTGGAGGAGGAGAGTGTCGTACCTGTCAGCATGGAACCAGAGCTTCCCGAGTGGGAAAACGAACCAAAAACGGTTGAAGAACTTTTAGAGCTCTACGTCATCGAGGGGAAGTGCCCTGCTAATGTTCCTGGCGGGATGTTCTACTTGGTGAATTCCACAACTCGCAAGGGGGAAGAGATCGACATCGTGAAAGGGCAAAGGTTCAAGCTCTACTTTGTTCCTCAGTTTCAGACCAAATCACATCTTTTCATTGTAGTATATTGTAGTTTACTGGACCTGGACTGGAGTCAGTGATAACTACGAATCATAAATCACAGTTGAGACCACAAAAATGTTCAGGGGTGATGTTCTGGATCTGAATGCTGTGTTTTTCTCGCTACTCAAGGCTGCCCACGTTCGCTTGACCCTGTCTGCGACAGAGCCAGCGATCATGCATGGCAAGTCTGGCTTTCTGAAGCAGGAGAAGGTGGCAAAGCTTTTGCGAGAGAGTGGTGGAGGCCAGTACATGCGCATGTACAAACTGAAGCATGTCAACATACCTTGACATGCATTACTATGAGAATAACACACATTGCATATGTTTCTTGCTTCATAGTGGGCCATGCACTCAGCCTTCTTGTCTCTCCAGCTCTTTCTTTGCACGCCTCGTCTTGACGTGAACGCCTTGTCTTGACGCCATGAACCTCGAGAGCATGCTGGCTTCACATGGACTTCGCGCGGACCAGGGTTCAAAAGTCTCAAGGGGGTTCAAAAAATATGTGATGTATTTACTTTTTTCCTTTAAAACAAACAGGCGCTAAAATATACAGGCTCTGTGTTGTTCTTTCACCTTGCGAGGACCTGGACATCATGATCAAGAATGACCCTCGTTCAGCGCAAACACCATCTCCACCACCACGTGTGGGGGAAGCATCGGGGAACACAGGTCCAAGCCCGTCGCCGCCACCGCTACCAAAGAATCAAGACAAACCAGGATCTTCATCTGTTGTTGCTGCATTACCCATGCACACTTCAGAGCGTCCAAAACTTGGGAGGAGCAATACAGCTTTGGGCAAAGAGGAGCAGAAAGAGCTGTCACAGGATATAAAAAGGGCAAGAGAGGCAGTGAAGTCCTTGAAAGCAAGTCTTCCAAAAGAATCCAAGACCCAGAAAGCGACTGCAGGTCGAGGAAGAGGGAAAGGAAAAGGGAAAGGGCGTGGCAGGCCACAAAAGGAAAAACCGAAGAAGGAGGAGGAGGATGAGGAGGATGTACTGGACTCTGAGGAAGAGCTTGAGTCAGGGGAAGATCTGCATGAAAGTGATGTCGACAGCCTCCATGCACCAACCGAGATCCTAGGCCAGCCGTCGAAGAGATCTTCAGCAAAGAAGACTGATCCAAAGCAAAAGAAGACACCTGATCCTGCGTCAAAGGCGAGGACAAAGAAGCCTGATCCAAAAAAGGAAAAGAAGCCTGATGAGGAGAAGAAG